TGAGTATCTCTGTCTCTTGTGCCGTATAGATAACATGCACAATGTGAATGCACAGCCTAGCAAACTTACACTGGCTGAAAACTTTCTTGTTGCATTGAAGTGGAATTTTCACTGAGATTAATTTTGGCCTTACACTGATTCATCCACCATATTTCTAGTTCAGGACTTCTTTTTCTTTTTTCTTTTTTTTTTAAATTTTTTTTAAGATTATCTGTATCCATAACTTTTCATCAATTTCCATTTTTGCATTTCAGTCCAGAGAGTCAGTAAGGTATATTTTTTTTTAATAACAGCTGGATAATTGGATTCAAAGCCCCAACACATTTAGATTTTTATTACCTGTTTTCTTGTTCTTGGATGGTTGATTGATAAAAGAAAGCCACACTTCGGCTTCCATTTAAAAACGTAAAGGACAGTGTCTTACAGTCTACACAGGGTAGGCGCTTTTCTCCAGATCTAAGTCACCATAAGTAGTTCTTCGTCATAACTTTCACAGGAAAACTGGAATAACTTGATGATTTTTCATAGGACTGTTAGGTCTGATGAACTCAGCAGCCTCCTTATAGGAGGCTGATCACTCTTTCTTGAAAGCTTTTACCATGTTTGCTTGTTGAAGCATGGGCAATATCCTCTTGACAGGTACAATTACCAGGAGACCTCCAACTTTGATGTCCAGATAAGCCTGAGAGAAAGTGGCCTCTACAATGCTTGAGAATCAAAACTCAGTGTATAGACAACTCGGAGTGGTGCTCTTCCTATATTTCTTTAACACTTTCTAGCAAAGATAGGAGCCTGTTCATCTTGTGGAAACTGAAGATGCCGAATGAGATTCATTCAATTCACATCCTTTCTATAGCTTTTACTCCTGTTGAGAAGGGGAGTGTGTTATAAGTTGGCTTAGCTGTAGGCATTTATCTCAGTGTATATGATCTTTAATTCAGCAATGGTCTGTATTGTTAAGACACATAAGTGAACCTAAAACATCCTGTTACTTCCTGTTAGCTAAAAATACAAGAGCACTTGAAAGCTCTCAAATGTGTAAGGGCTGAAGTGAAACTGTCACCTTTTATATGTTTTTAACCTTCAACTCCCTTTAATAACTTAATCCAAAAGACCAACTGAGGAAGCATTAGGGTGTATATGAAGTTCATCATGGACATTTAGTACCAGAGTTCAAAGTCGTTCTGCATACATCTAGAAAATTAATGTACCTAATGCTTCTGTATAATAAATTCTACCTAGAAGGTATATAGATTATTTTTAGATCTGAAGTACAAAGCTAGTAGCCCTAGTTTAAAGACTAGTTCCATAGGGGTTACAATACCTTACTGTACAGAGACATTTAAACTAACAGCTTGGAATTCTATTCACACATTCATTAACCATTTCCTTTGCATTACTACTTTTTTTCAGTCTGTCAGAATTCTGTCATTTTACAGAAATAGCTAAAATTTCCTTGATTACTGTCAGAAGAGGGAATGCACAGAAACTTTTACTATCCATAACTTCCCACATTTTCTGCTCAAGTGTTATGCATAATTTAGATAACTGAATATGCCTTTGAAAGATCTGTGCTTCTGTAAAAAGGAATTCAGATGACAAGGTGATGCATTGATTTCTAAAAAATGGATTAATAATACCACTGACCTTGCTTTACATCGTTTTAATAAGCAAAGCTTTCAAGGAGATTCCATGGCTCCACATGAGGGCTAATAGTACTGTGGGACACAGTACCTTTGAAAAAATACAAGTTCTTGATAAGTAATTAAATTGCTTATTAATTGCAAGCAGGTTGGAAGCTTTCATCCTGTTTGTTGTATCTTTGCTAACTATGCAGTATGGGTTTTCTAGACTCAAGACCTGTTTCAAGGAGAAACAGTTCACATAATATTTTATTCTGCTTTGTCTATTCCCAGTTACTTATTTCTTTTCATATGATTTATGTAATTTAGTTGCTTAAGGTATGTTTCTCTGAAAAGGAAAACTGTTTGGCCAAATATAAATTATAAAGCCAAATAAACAGCTCTTCAAGGTGTTTCTCTACTACTAGTACAAGAGAATTTGCTTTACTGGGTTGTATGGACAGTTCTTGCAACATTTGTGATGGTGTATGAACTTCTGGAAGTTCAGATAGGAAGGTAACCATTTATGGAAGGATTATTCCACATGAATAAACATTTACATTAAAATAAGAAGGGACATGCCAAGCTATTCACAAGAGACTTACAATCTTGAAATGATAAATTTTACATTTCCATGAGGAATCGGGATGCTATATAATGTAAAAAAAGTTGCACTGAAATATGCCGGAAGTCATTAGCTTTTATTTTGAAGGCATTCTAAATGTGTTCACAAATAGTTGCCTCAACTATCTTGAAAAACAGGAACTAGTGTGTTTTTATACACAGATACAATTCTGAATACAGTTCTTACTGAATTTCAGTGAATTCCATAAAACTCAAAACGTAATACCATAGAGATTTTCTAATTACCAAGGAAATATGAGATCCTAAACTCAAATCAAAGTAATCATACTGCAAATGGCAGTCACAGCAGCTTTCATTTTGATGGTAATTGTTTACTTATTAAGAAACCTTTTTTTGTAGTTAAAGTAGCAAGCAAAAGCAGCGTATTGTATTTTAAGGGTTTCTGATTCCAGAAGAAGCAAACTTATTTATCTTATACTGCTGTCTCTATTTCCATTTGTTTGGTATGTTGTAGCTCCATGGAACTGATATGTTCAGGTGTTGTTAAACTCCTTATTACTGTAACAGCAAACTGGAGTAACATTTTCTTCTTTTGTACAAATTGTTGATCTCTGAATTTAGTTGTGCACTGTTCTTTGCAGTGAAGGAGATACATTTTCACTTCAGAGATGTATTAAAGATCAGAACTTTTGAGGTTTCTGTATGATAAAAAATTTTTCATCCTGATATCTGTATTTTTCAAGAGAGTAGCTCTACCACAGATTTATTAGAAGTAAACTGCTGAATAATGAGGTTAGGGTTATGAGGAAGGCTGTAGTCATGAAATTATTTCACCTGCAGGGAGAACAGACATCAGTTGTCTCCATTGGCCATGTATGCATGTTCTATATTATATTGGTGTGAATGTCTGCATTGTTTCAGGACTACCAGGATGGGCTTGAATGTCTTCTTATACATATATGTAAAATAAAATTTCTAAAACTGTCCCGAAGTTTAAAGGTTGAAAATTGTAGTTCCATGGAGAATGTTATAAAATACATCTCGTAGCTGCCTCATTATGGCAACTTGAAATATGCATACAGTCTTCATATGTAACCTAGATAACCTAATGATCAGAGTCAAACTGGAATTAACTGCCTGCAGGTCACACACTAAAAATTCTAATCTTTCTCAACAAGTTGACTGCCATTCTATTGTAGATGTTGTAAAGATAGAGGTGATTTTCTCTAATGAGCTCTCCTTAGAAAGTCCATCACTGCTTCTTCACTGAAGCAAATGAAGTTTCAGTCTTTTAACTGACTTTAGTAAACTTTGGTTTGTGGCATATGTCTGATAAAACATCTGCATATGTTTGTCTTCTATTGTGTCATTCTTTCAAATGGAAGTGGAATAACAGATTTGTAGTCTGTGCAGTCAGTCAGGTGAAGAGTCATGGAGATCGTTTAATAAAATGCATATATTGTTTCACCTTTGAGTTACTGGGAAGAAATAATTTCTGTAAGTGCCCTGATAGTTAAAGCTAATGTCTGAAAATACGGAGTCCACAAGAAAAGTTAGTTATACATCATTAAGTATAACCATGATGTGAATTTCACCACTCCTTCCACAGGTGTTTTCCATTAGAATGTGTCTGCTCCATTCAGACCTATTTTAAGTAAATTCACAAGGAAATGCCTCTTTACATGTTTATCCTGGAAGGGCAGATAGGTGTCTTATTTTATAAAGCAGTCTAGAAGTTTTCTATTCTATTCTTCAAATGAAAAAATATTTTTCAGAACATAGTATTGCAGTTTGGTAATGTATTTCTAGCTGCCATTAGAGACACTTAAATTTAAAACATAATAAAAATCATGAAACAGAAATGACTGTTTCTTAGAAATGCTGGTGAAAGGAGTATTTGCCTGCATAAGTGTTTGTGTAAAAATCTTATGTTTGTTATATACACTTTTATTAATATAAAACTCTACTCTTACACTTCATTTTTGGTGATCTTGTAAAATATTGCTATGTATTGATACTGTAAGGTTATAATATATCATCTCTTAAATAACGTGTAAAAAAAGTGTACTGACTTGCTAGAAATTATTTCACAACAAATACCCAACATCAGTAATTTCCATTAATTTTTAATTTGGAAAACAGCTTAGCTCTTACAGACGACCCACATCTTTCAAATGCTTTACTTGGTTTAGTGAAAAACAGATAAATGGTTTGTGTTTAAGAACAGTGACAGATTATACATCTACATATACACTACCTGGTCACTTTACTTCAGTGTTCATTTTCTCCCTGAAAAAACATTTTCATTTACAAGAAAAATAGAAGAAAGCAGTATTCTCTTTGCTCTCATTTCCTGGCTTTCAGTGTTCATGGTATCACAGATTGTTACAAAAAATGCATTTGCCTTCTGCCCTCTATACATATAAGTGGGAGGTAGTACAAGCATAATTTAATTTCTGCAGATGTTTAAATGAAATGTTTGAAGTCTGATGTTGCTTAGACCATCTGTATAAATTTTATAACTGTTGTTTTTATATAGTGATTTTTTTTCAACTTCTTTCTTAATACTCTTCAGACTGAGAGGAATTATTAGATAATCTGGAAGCTAAACATTTCTTATTGTAAATTTTGTTCAAGACACAAAATCAATTAAAGAAATGCTGTATATATCTTTAACTGAATCTTTTAAGTCATTTTGTAAGCAACTGGCAAACCTAAGTGTCTTGGATGAGTTCTTTGTCAGTTTTACTAGCAGAGTGGGGTTACAGTAGTATGAATGTTTTCTCCCAATAGCATCAGCGACTTCTTGACATTTTGCAAGCGGAGAAGGAAGTGTTGTCAGAAAAGATAGAAGAAGCTTTGATGCAGCAGGCGCAAAAACATAAGGTATTGCTTTTATTTACCAAAAAAAAGGGGAATGATCCTGTCAAAATTATTGACAGGAAGAGCACTTTGACTCTGAAATGCACTCAAAGACTTTGCCTGTTTGAAATGATTTTTAGCCACTCCTTTATTGTGTATTGCAGTTTAATTTTTCATAATATTTACAGGAAGTCCTTGACAAATGTTTGGATGAAGAAAGACAAAGAAGTAAGGAGGCTGTGGCAGCTGCTGCAAAGGTATCTCTTGTTAAACAGTAGGTGTGCAATGTGGATTCCCTGCGTGTCATTACAAATGCCAAGTTCAGCAACTTATTTCATAACTAAATTTGTCAAAATCTATGTTCTTATCTGTGTATAAAAGAAGCTAGTTCTATAAATCATGAACATATCTGCTGTATTTTATGCCTTAATACAGATAGTTTATGTAACTTCTATTTAAGATGGTATCTTAATTAGTTTATAACAAAAAACACAATATTGCAGTGCAGTTGTCAGTGTTACCTAAATATTGGGTTTCATGGTCTTTCAGTTAACAACATCAGTACATCTTGATTTGAAGGGCTAGGTAGCAGGGTCAACTGACGATCTTAATAAGACAATTAGCACCATGCCTTGTTTAACTTCTGTTAAATATGGTCATTTTCGGTAAGGACATAGCTATTTTATAAATTACATAAAAATGTGGACATTTTAACACGTTTTCAATTACATTATTTAAGTTTATGTTTGACTGAAAGTGAGTATTCACTTTTAAAAATATGATTTCTTCTGTATATTTCATTATTAATTCCATTGGGGTTAGGACAGTAATTTTGGAAATATTACACTATCTTTCATTTCTAATACTGATGTAGAATGCAGTACAATAGTTCAGTTGCATGTAATGATCTGGGAAAACTAGTGATATATATAACCTAGCACAGTTGCTTAGGCTAAATTTTATCATTTCCTGTATATCTTCATATGTAGCATATGCACATTAGCTGAGCACCTCTCTGAATAATGTTCAGAAACACAGAAAAAGTCTGTTACATGGTTGATATCTTGGGGAAAATGTGTGTATAATAAAATATCTTAATTTAATAGTGCACTTTTTTAGCTTACATTTTTACTATATATTATAAATGTCTACATAAAAAATCAAGTCCCAGTGAATTGCAAGAAACACTTTATTTATAAGTGTAGGTATTTGAGGAACCCAGTATTTTTTGCCATTTGTAACTTAATTTGACCAGTTCCTTAATCACTGCCAAAGGGCATTGGAATGACCTGTAAACTTATTAAAATTGAGGGGTGTGTGGGCGTGGTTTGTCAGCCCATGTTTGTTTATTTTGAACTTCAGCTTGCCATTATTTTTTTGTAGATACTATGCAATGATTGTCTTGCAGATAAATATATTTGTGTGGCTCAGCATGTGTAGGGCTGTTCTTGTTACTTCAGTTTGTGCCTTGTGATGATTTCATGTAATGATTGAATGTAAACTTTGGGAAAAAAAAAAGATGAAACAGTACTTCTTGTAGAATGCATAGCTAAGGAGCTTTGGGAAGGAAGACGCATTTATTTTAAGTTTGTATTGGCTACTTTGCCACAGAAAGCGCTCAGAGTGCTTTTAAACTTTAGGTGCTTATAGATAAGAGCACCAGTATCTCATATATGGCAATATTAAGCTGTATAAGCTTGATATACATACTCTTACATGGTTTCTGCTGCATGTTTTTTGTGTTGGCATTAAGCAAAGTAGTTACGATATATTTTGGTTTTGGTAGGTGGATATTTAAGATCCTTGTTTGTAACTTTCTTCTGTAACTACAGAGTCATTGTCCGGTGGTAATATCTGCTTGGTAGCACCTTAAGGTAAATTTAAGCTCATAGTTCAGAAGTGAAAATTTTCACGTCCCGTATCTTGTCAGTTCACAGATCTCACTAGAAGAAGTAGTGTATGTGAGTTAGGCACCCGTGTTGGATATTTTGGTCATTTATTTGTGCTTGATTTGTTTCAAAGGCTGAAAAAGAAGTCATACGGGAGGCTGTTCTGAAAGCAGTAGAGGAGGAGAGAAGAAATATGGAGAAGATGCATGCAGAAGAAAGAAAAATGTGGGAAGCAGAACATGACAGACATAAAGAGAAGATTGCCCAGGCTGTTTGGGAAGCCATGCAAGAGCAAAGAAAGCTTAATCAAGTCAGTATATTTTACTCTTCCATGAACCTACTTTGTGTATTTTGCTTTTTCTTTTGAATGCCTTCCTAATGATGCTGTAGATTTTCTTGTAACATCTATCAGTCCTCAGTGCACCTAGTTGATGTTTGCAGTGCATAGCAATCTTGTTTGTTTATCTTCATCTAGACTGTGTGTGGAGAGAAGTTGGCACATACAGAACAAAATTCCTGCAACCTTTTCAGCTACATATATTGAAATGAGATGAATCATGCCTTGTAAGTGCCTGGGTTTGTCCACTCACTTCAAAAGGAGCCCAGGATAAGTAGATCAGATAGTGGCATTTACGCTGTAGACAGTTTAGGTGACTTTTTTATACCTATGGAAGAGAAAAGATGTTACATTTGACCCTTATTCTTCTGGAATTCCATTATCTCTTAGTAAAAATATATTTTTCTAAGACAAAAAATAGAATGGGTGCAAAAAAAGGATAGGGTTATAAAACTGATAGGGTTATAAAACTGGAAGCCTAAACCAGTAATGAATCAGAATTGTTTCTGGAGTTACTTTTTAGAGAGGTGTTTCTTTATAGAAATTTTATATATATATATATATATATATATAAATAGGATAATTGTATGTCACTTAATACAAATTGAGAGGGATGTTCCCAATTTTGCTTTTAACAAATTAAATACGTTATAGTAACAGTTAAATTACTCTTTCAGAAGTTGAATTTTCTAGTCTCTGATGCTGGAAATCTTTGGGGGAACAGCCTGTAAATTCACTGGTTTCTTGGTAGCATCCTTGAATGTTATAGTCTGAAGAATTTTAAGCAAAATAAGTTTAATTTGGGTGTTGGAATTTGATATTACTATATTTTTTTATGTCCTGAATAACAACAACAAAAAAAGACCTTTGGAACTTGAAATAAAATAAAAGTAATATAGCATATCACAGAATTTAAAAAATCAGCTCTTTGGAAACAGAACCCATTTCCCCTTCAAGCATTAAACAATTATTAACCTAATCAACTACACAAAAACTTGGCTTTTGATGCTAAGCCGTTATTATACCCTGTGTTGCTTATATTTCTAGTGCAAATAGAATGATTTTACTTTGTGTATAGCTTGTTTACTTCTTTTGAATGTAAAGGTATCAAGTGACAAGATGTCAGTTTTCACGACTGTATTTCTACTATACCAATAATTCTTCAGGCGCTCAAACTCTTCTTTACAACAAAAAGATAAGCAGCTGACTTCAAAGCGAAATTCAAGCTGAGAACAATTGCTTGGGGTTTAATTTGGTACGAATCATTTAGACTATCCAGAATGAGAATTGGTACCAGTGGTGCAGAGAATCTATTAATAGAAGGGAGAGAAATAAAGAAAGACAGTGATTCTATAACTTGTGGAACATGAAGAGATTTAATAGGAGGATGACTATGGTAATGGAATCTGAGGAGAGATTTGATGAATCCTGAAGATTTTTGGTGAAGAACTCCTGTAGCTGGATGCATGAGGTTGGCTGGGGTTCTGTATTTATGGATTTGGGGAGCATGTAAAATGTCCCAGGCGGTGGGAGAGCGGTGGATTAAGCTGATGTCGTGACTCTCCAGTAGGTTTGCTTCCCTGTGGAGTGTACTGCCAGAGTTTCATCTTGTTGTTGATATTGCCTTTGATGTTGTCACAAGACAGGATGATACTAAAAGATCGATGCTGATGGATGTATTCTTGCAGGGAAAGTCTTAAATACATTGAGATGTCAGTGCTTTTCTGAGGAAGAAATTCAGGCCTTTCAAAAGAATAGGTTTTTCAGCTCAAGCTGCTAGCTGATCGAGTACTTGATAGTGTTGGAATATCTCGTGGTGTAATTGTGATGGTGAGTAACACTAAGGTATTGGAGTGTTATGATTAATTTTCATGTAAATATCTTGCTCTTAGTGTAGTCATGTGGCGTTAGTTAATTCCATCTTTTTAAATGCTGAATAGCTCTGACAACATTGATAGTAACAGGAATAATTTATCTTATTCAGTTACATAATATAAAATAATTTCTCCTTTGAGTTAGGTTCTTTTTTCAAATACCTAATCTATTTTCAGTTAAGGAAAATGGAGACTTTTCTTGAGATTTCCAAAATTCTCTTAAATAAATGTATAGCATATTTGAAGTTACACTTTATTCTCTGATTACTGAGTACAAATTCTTTGGGTAGGATGGACTTTCATGTAGCAATCTGTTTCTTGCATCAATTTTCACTTGTTATCTCTGCCAAGAACTTGCCTGCCTCCTTTAGGCCACTGCTATTATAGATATATGACAACTACTAAAATTCTCTGACAACAAAAGAAGTCCTGCAGAGCTGATGTGCTGACTGATAGCTTATGTACAGTGTCAGATGGTGCTTTGGTTTAGCAGTGAAAAACACTTGGGACTAGAGGCAGTTTGTGCAGACATTATTTTTTCTGGGTAGAGCCTTCCACTCAGAGTTGTTTCTTTTTTTTTTTTTTTTTACTATAAGATTTCTCTTTCAGGAGCTATAACTGCACTATTGACTTTGTTGCAATTATTGTTTAGATGACATAATCTGTCAAGTCAGCTCTGTAATGGCCAAAAGTAAAACATACAGTCTAACATTTTTAGACAATGAAATGTAAAATTGTGGCCATGTAACACTTGCCTCATTTAATTCTTTATGCTGTGCTGTATAATTCTTTATGCTTCCTGCTTCAAAATTGTCACCCGATACTATTATTATGATTAGTACCAAGTAATGAAACAACTGAGTGTAGTTGAATATAAGTGAACATGCAAAATAATATTTTGGTATCAGACATATAAAAAGAGCTTTAAGAGCAGTACTATTATTTCGAGAAAGAGAACTTTATTTCTGAATAATACTTGATTTTGGAACATAATACTAGGAAACAGAAGCCTGACTTGTTTTTTGACAAAATCTTCTCTTAGTTTACTTTATCAGCAGAGAAAATAATTTGTGTGTGAGAAAAAAATTATGGTTTTATATTTACTTCTCTTTTTTATTCTTGTATCACACTAGTAATTGACATGGAAAAGTGGATTAAAAATTAATTTTATTCTGCTGTAAGTTATTTTGAAGACATTTACTTTACTGATTTGAACTAACCCAAAGATATTAAGCAAGGTATTAAAGAGAATGAATTTTCCTTCACTAATGCTGTAAGTCTTCAAATTGAAATGTCAGAGTCAGTGTAGCCATTTGCAAATACGTGAGGCGGAGTGGCTTCCAGTCATCGCACCCATAAGTAACTCTAGTAATAATTAATGGAAAAATTTGAAGACATTCAAAATTTTATAATCCTCTTTGAGATACAAATCCACTTCATAATCTCTGTGGTTTAGATATATTTTGGCCTGCATCCGAGCTGAGTAAGAACATAACAGAAGAAATTGAGACCCCAAATTTGACAGCCAAACAGGACCGTAAGAGAATTGTGAATCTGGTAGCAGAAGCTAGGGTAGAGTGTCATCAGACACTGAGAATCATAACCAAGAGCCTACAATCCTGGCCTTAAGAAAAAGTATTTCTGCCAAATAGCTGGAAATTAAGAACAGAGAAGATGCACATCAATGTAAAACACTGAAATGTAAATGTAGATAAATGATTAGGGAAAAGGACACTAGTATGTGCATAGGGCAAGAGTTGATAACTTAGAAGGGAGAGACATATTTTAAAAACTGCAGCCCCATTGTGTATCTGTAAAACATTTAAATGATGAAAATTAGGGAAAATAAATTTCTGTGTTGTCATGGTATGAATTCATTGGCTTCTCCCTTGCATTTTAGACCAGAAAATATGTTTAGGAGTTTTGATTTTTTGTTTTAAAGGAGGAATTTACTATGCACTAATTTTATTTATAAAATATGTTATTTTTTTCAAGAGCTTTTAAACACGTGCACTAGAAAAACCTTATAGAACTTGGTTATATATGAGAAAGCAATTGGAAAAATCCTTAAAGTATTCTTCAATTAGATAATTTTGACATAAGAACAGTAAAGCTTTGAAAATCACAGTTCTGCTGAATCAAGCGGTGAGATTTCCCTTCATCCTCTAAATAATCTGTTTAGAAGAAGAAAAGATGAATGTTTACTGTGCAGGGATGATACAGTTATTTTTTTAGACTTTTTTGTTGTTTTTGTTGCAGAGTAGCCAGGAAGGAGGGCAATAGTGGATGCAAACCTGGATGATTTATGTATATTACTTCTACTTGTTAGATATTCATGCTTGACAAAACTTTGTCCTAAAAAATTGTTTGTCTTCAGTGAGATAGATGTTGCGTCTGCAGATAAGGAGGTGCTACTTCTGTATAAGATTCATTTCATGGATTTTGTATTGCCAGAGAAAAATCTGGAGACTTGGGGACAGTTTAATAAGTAACTGATGATTAGGATCAAATACTTTGTTACCAAAAATAAAACAGCAGAGTAAAGATAAACTTGCAATGAAAGTAGGAGCTAAGACATACTGAGTTAACGTTTTCGCTCGATGGAGCAACCTTGACATATCACTTTCTCCTTTTTAAAAGAAATTAAAGGATTAAAGTAACATGAATATTGCATTTGTTTTCATGAAAGCATGACTGTTCCAGTGACTTGGGGTCTTTACTTAGAGACATGAGATTTGTAATTAAATTGAAGGTATTCTTTGAAACCTTATAACTCTGAAGGGGTAAATGAGATACATTACCTCACCAAGGAAATGGTAAAAGTTTTCCTAGAGCACTGTCACAAGAGTCTATAAGATATTAGAGGTCCAAAAGGCTTTCCTTTTGATTGAGACTAGCAACATCTTCAGATTTTATGCATGATGTTATCCAGGTGCTTAGTGCTTTTATAAAAGAGATGGGTTTTGTTTTGTTTTGTTTTGTTTTTCTTTTTAATTCAGAAGATGATTCTTAGTTCTGGGGAGGGTGGGGTTGCATTTTTAATCAGGGAGAATAAGCTCTCCTTGAAAGAAATTAATAGTCTTTTGATCAAAGATAATG